CATCAGCAGCGGTGCCTGACCACTGGGACAGTGGTTTTGTGGCTTCTGCATGTGGTTCAACAACAACGCTGTAATAATACAGTGAGGTGGAAGGTGTGCCAATGTGCTCGAGGTATCCCTGCAAATTAGATTAGCGGCAGCAAACAGCAGAGCGCCATCAGCGATGGTAACAGCACGTTGCATTGACTTCACAGTGCACCGAAAGAGCCTGGATGCAGATTTACCAAAGAAACCATATCATAGTCGCTCAATCAGAAAGTCAATAACTGGCTCCGGCCTCTACAGCGCATGCTATCGTAGCTAATCAGGTCAGCGATAAGAGCGCAAGGTAGCTCTGACTGCTAATGTACACCTCAGGAGCTCAAAGAAGAAAGTGACCACTGGAATGTATTGTGTGAGCGGCAGCAATAAGAGTTTAAACATTTACTAGTTTAAGTGACAGGGTGGCGGTGAAGGGGCAAGCACAGAGATGAACTGATAGCAAACTGTTGATTTATCAAAACAAAAACTTCACTGTATGGATCCTCTCCCGAGCTGCTTTTTACCTCACATTCAATCCTCATCTGTCGTCATTCTCGCACATTAAAAGCCAAAACACAAGCACTGCACAGCACATACCGCAATTAACCCCAAAAGGGAGTTTCTAACCGTCTGCGCTGCCACCCACCCACCCACCCACACAAACACACCCGGCCACACATATACACTCGCACCCGATATAGACTAAAGACTTTGCTGAGGAGTAAAAATAGGAGCCTGCTGTTAGCCGCTCACAGGAGGGCGTGCAGATGAGAAATATTTGGAAAAACGATGAGCCAGAGACGCGTCCTTTCACCGCCACCTGCACTGCCAGCGGTGAGAGTGCGTTCGTGTGTGTGTGTGTGTGTGTGTGTGTGTGTGTGTGTGTGTGTGTGTGTGTGTGTGTGTGTGGTGCAAAGCTGAACCCACACTTCTTGGTTGTTCGTCCCTGTGGAATCCTTGGGCCTCATGTGCTCGTGGGAGGGGGTGGGAGGGGGGGGTGGGAGGGGCATGCTGTAATCCTTATGATGTTATGGTATTTAAAAGGACTTTTCATTTGTACTCTCAGACCATAATTCCACTGCTGCAGTTGCCGGAGCAGCAGCCGTTTCAAATTTCATTAACACAGACAGAGAAAAAGGTGAGAGGTGCCCTGTGTTAATTCTCACATGCTCTTTGTGGCACAAGACACGTCTCCGCCCTCAGCTGTGGTTTACGTCTGCATGGCTTTTCAAAGTGAAAATTTACAATTGTGCAGATTCTTGACCCTGTGGCTGTGTTTACTCTGAACCAGTGTTTTCCTGTTGTCTGTTTATCTACGCAGGCTGAGAAGTGGACTTGTTTAAAGATCACTAAAGATATCACTGAAGCGGTTTAATCACCAGTCACATCTTCCGTGTAAACAAGTGCATATGAAGCATAGACAGTGACTTGCTTCGCACTGGAGCAAAGTGATGATTTGTGATTCATTTAAGTGATTGAAGTCGTGGCAGCTGAGACGAGGCTCATGTGTGGTATACGGCCTGAAACCGCGGAGCCATAAGCATGGATTTAGATTTGGATCTGCTTAATGCATGAACTCAAATATGTCATAGAGGGAATGTGGGCCAACAGCAGTAATGTTACACTCTTTGCAAAACAGGACATGGCCAAAAAACGTCCCCCCGGAGTGCTTTGTCCATTCAGAAAATGTGATGTTTTCTGTACCTTGTGATCTAAAAAAAAAACCAAAAAAAAAAACAACAAAAAAAAAAAAAACTGCACATATAAATCAGTTGACCTTTTAATGGATTTACGGTACAAAGGCACTTGCATGACTTGGGAGTCTCACGGAGAGGCGACGCTCTCACACAATCCTTTCACATGGTAATTCAGTATTTCACTTCAGAGATGGACAGCTTTACAATTTGACTGCGGAGTCTTGAATGATGGCTTCGCTGTACTACAGCTCCACCTCTATAAGTAAAGAACAATCACAGTCACTGAATGAAACACCTACAGGAGTCTGAGGAGTTACAGTGTCCATTATGACAAATAATAGGAGCTGAGCACATTCAGATAAACAGCTGGTGGTGCACATTTCAGTGTCGTTAAATCAAGATGATAATAAAAGATAAAACCTCAAACGATGGAAAACAAAGTAGAAAACGTGATGAGTAAATGGCACTTGCTTGTTTCATGTTTGTATTTGGGGAAGGTTACAGCCGACGTATTGCTCCACACAGCCGGAAGCTTCAGTGGACATTTAGGTCATGTGCTTCATCGACTTCAAAATTAGTCCCTATGCACTTTTCTATTAATCCACCAACTTCTCCAGCTCAGCTTCAATTAAATATATTGACATATTTATTTATTTATTTTTTTTTTTTTTGGAATTTTCCGTGTTTTGTTTTTCATGCTCACATCAAAAGTTGAAAAAAAAACAAAACATGTAGAAACACACCTACAGTCGGAATGAAAGGTTTCATTACAAAATGTTGTCATTTAAAAAAAAAAAAAACACTAAATGAAAAAGTTAAAGAAAAGCATAAATGATTCTGTCTGAACTGAACTACTTCATATATATGACATGTCTGTCTGAATTCCCTCTTTCCTTCACCACTAGCAGACCGTATTCCTACGTTTCATGCCAGAAGAGTGTGTGTAAACTCAACAGTTTCTCAGCAGTTGCAGGTACAGTGTTTGATATGATATGAGGGTGTGTGTGCGTGTGTGTGTGTGTGTGTGTGTGTGTGTGTGTGTGTGTGTGTGTGTGTGTGTGTGTGGGGTGGGGTGGGGTGGGGTGGGGCAGACTTGTCTCAATTGACCTTACAATATCAACTTATTATCTATGGCAGATTTGCTTCACTCCGTCTCGACATTCTACAAAACACTCCCTTTGCTCATCTGACATCGATTACACCTATTTGCTGTCTAAACCGAGTCAGACTTCTTTCTTCTGGCCAACCCCTTTCTCCTCAGCTCACTCGCACAGAGGACGTGATAAGCCCGGACAAAGTCTACGTCCAAGGTTTATCCCTCAGACTTTACAAACTCTAATCTTTCTGAAATATGTGTAAGTAGATAGAACTCTACCCTCAGAGCCTTATGAGAGTGTGTTGGCTTTTTTTTTTGTTTTGTTTTCAGTATCACAGAAGGTGTTGTCCCTGTCATAAAAGCTGTGCCAAAGCCAAAGAAAAGCAATTAGGTCCCATGATTTACTCTGCCTGCTTTAATAGGGAAGTGGAGGCCTCCCAGATGGAGGTCATGGTTCTTAACCTCGCTCCTCAGCTACCGAGTTAATCAGTTTGAAACGTGTGTTTAGTTCAGCACCGAGCAAGACTTCAGCTTTATAGCTGCAATTTGAGTTTTTCCTCACAGTGTGACGCAATGCCATAATGATCAATTATTATTAAGAGGGAACTGATAATTAACACATTCTTTCCCTCAGTCTCACATTAAAAAACCTGCAGATTGTCCACACTTGTCGTAGTGTTGTGTTCCATTAAAGTTGCTGATGAGAGGCAAACTGCCTTTCCCAGACAGCTCAAGCAAAAAACTTAACACATCACGATGCATCAGGGGAAGTGCAGCCGGCTTGCCAAGGTAAAGACTACATGGGCCTCTCAAAAAGCAATTAAGGGAGAGAGAGTCATAATATTGAATGGGGGGGGGGGGCACATTCCTCCGGGAGAGGCAGCAGCAGCAGACTGTGAAATTCATATTGACTGGAGAGGCAAACACACAGGTAAGCAGGAGAGCCGAGCTTTTTCCACCCTGCTTGTCAGCTATAGAATAGAGCCTGTAGTCGGCTGCTTTCAAACATATTTCGGGTGAGGTCAGCCATCCAAAGATGCACCAATATAAAAGCCAGTCTGCAGAAAACCTTACAGAGCACGCACACACACACACACACACACACACACACACACACAAACACATACAAAAAACATAATTTACACAGTTGTCTAAAAACAACACTGCCTTTGTGTTGAGAATGGACTAAAACGATATTTGCAGGATGAAAAAAAAAAACTGCTGCGCTCTGTATGTGCGCTCACTGATGTGTTAAATCCCACTTGATTAAAGCAGGAAAACGCCTTCAACAATGAACTGTGCCAGTCCACTTAATTAAGTCAACTTGTACGAGGGAGCGCTGGGAAATGGAAAGCAAAGCAAACAGAGGCGCTGCTGCTGCTCGCTCCCTCGGCTTTTCTCTGGATGCTAATCAAAGGCTTGATCTCCGAGCAGGACAGGCCTCGGGGACGTCGCTCTGCTTGGCTGATCCTGGCAATTTGCTCCTTGATAATACGCACCCTCTCTCCCTCTCTCTCTCTGCACCCCTCAGAACCCAGCAACCCATCTCACCTAATCCGCACGGCAGCTGAAACGCACAAACACAGCCCCCTGAAGTACACGTCTGCCTCACCAGGGAATAATCACATAATGGCCATAGAGTTATTACATGCTCCTTATTATCCCGTCTCCCTTTGTGGCTCCAATTTAGGGATTCCATAATAAAGATGATTGAAGATAAAGACGCTGCATTTGATTAACGAAAACAATAATCATGTATATTGTTTCTAAATGTGTATGAACAAGACATACATCTTCAATTTGTGCATCTGCTCTGTCATTGTTTGTGTTTTTTTAATTGTTTGCACAGTTTAAGCCAGTGGAAGCATCTGGTGATTATTACAATGCCTGGAGGTCTGGGGAGAGGGGGGGCAGCGAATGAGAAGTGCATGATTTGTTTGTGGTCTGCTCTGCGGCGTAACACAAGAGTCTGGTGATGCTCTAAGTTCTTCCTCTGCGAAAACCTTCAGCACTTATCAAAGCCACAATCGCTCCAATTACACGTCTGTCACATCATCAGTCATTCGCCGAGCAAACATGTGGCAGAGTTTCTGAAACCCGCAGAGAGTATGAGGAGTTTGAAATGTTACAACACCAGTTGCAAAGCAGGAGTCAGAGGCGGATGGGAAAAGGCTCAGGCGTCCTACCTTTGAAGGAGACGAAGACGCGAGGTGCGGCCAACGGGTCGTTGCTCACTGGGTTCCCGAGAGTGAAGCTGGACAGCGCCAGGAGGGCGTGGACCGTCCACAGACCGTCCAGCTGCATGGTCGACCAACCTCCAGGAGCGCACAAAGACTGATTTTTTTTTTTTTTTTTTTTTAAACTCTGTAGAGACAAAAAGAAACATGTGAGAAGATGCGTTTTCAACTTTACACTGAAGAAAGAAAAAAAAAATCAGCCGCAATACGTCTGTTTTTATTTATTAATTAATGTGACGTGTCAAATAAGTGGCTCCCAGGGGCCCCCGTCACCACAGGTTTTGGTGAGGCAGCACTGCGGTGTGTGGAGATTACAGCCAGACCTCTGGAAGATTCACAAAACTGATGAGTCCTGATGCAGAGCAGCCAAGCTTTGAGAGATGTGCACACACTTGCATTTGGTAAAAATTACGTTTGTTTTTGAGAGTGTGACAAACTGATGGAAACATCACGCTGCTGACTCCAGAGAGAGGAGCTTTTCTTCTGCTCCCCTCCACACACCCAAAACACATTCCTGCTCCATGACACCATACGTGTGTGTGCGCTACTCTGTAATTATAGCTTCACCTAATGCCAGGTCATACCACGTCCTCACACGCCAAGGATTGGTGTAATCCAAAATAAAATATTAACTTCTTGCTAAAGGGGTTAGAAATGATGATAAATGCTAACAGGGGCCATTCAACAAGTCCTGGTCTGAGGGTTAATGAATGATAGACACCAGGGAGCGACCACAGTGATCCACACATACATCACAGATGAGCACAGACACTCATCTAACAGGTCACCCCCCCCCCCTGGCCTAGGCTCCTTCATATCCACCCATGGTCCATCTAACCATGTCCACCATCGCTGCCACCTCCACAGTCCACTCTCCCCTCTGCATTTTCATGTCTGATCAAACTTCTTTTTTTTTTTTTTTTCACCACACTACTCTATTCCTAGACCTCAGTGACTGAACATTCACAGTAGGACCACTCTACAAAATCTCGCCTCCCCCCCCCCATTTCTACAAACTCCTCCACCTCAAACACACCTTCCGAGACGTCGGCGGAGCCAAAGAGTCCTCTGCCCGCTGGGCTGGAGTGGATTTATGGGCATAAGCAGCTGTTTAAACCTCGGCTGTTTACTGACAATTTGTTACCCATCCAGCTGTTTATTCTGAGACAGAGGCCAAGTCCTTCACACAAGCAGATGAAATCAAACAAGACAGTGGGGATTGTGGAAGACTTTAACTCACATTATACTATAGAGCTAAACAGACCTCCTCATGTCTTGTGAAATTAATGCATAAGTTTACAAGAGGAGCTTTTATGGGAACATCTGAGTCCATCGCATGGCTTCAAATAGCTTTTTATCTTCAGAAGGAACAGCTTTATACAGCCACTGATGCTCTCACTGTGTAAAGTTGCAACATAACACTCCTCCTGAATCCTGCTGGTGCATTCAGTGGACTATGAAGGATCCACTCTGATAATCTATCACGTTTCACAACAATTGAGACAAATAAAAAGCCTCCTCCTGTGCTATAAAAGCTGATAATATGAACAATATGAAACTTTTATTAGTATATTATTATAATCAATATATGTTCTTCGCAAAGAGGAAGGAGGAACAAAATGTATGCACAAATGTTCAGTGTTGCTGAAACGCAACATAGACTGAAGTGTGTGTGTAACAGCCTGCCAGTCTTGGCCACACATGGACGACAGAACTGTAAACAGTCTGGTGCGGTATTAGAGCGCACGGTATACTGAATAGTAATTAAATAAATAGTAATAATTGTTCGCATAGGAATGAAGGCTGTGTTATATCAGTCATTTGATTTCTGGTTTATGTAAAATGGTTCATGTTAATATTTATAAGAGGAAATAAAGCAGACACCGGGGCATGCTGCACATAATAAAATAAGAAATTAGACAGGATGCTAACAGACAGGTAACCTTTTGTTTCTGTAATAAGAAAACAGATTAAACAGAAAATAATGAATAAAAAAGCAGCAATACAAGCAGGCTTACCTTGTTCTTACTGATCTCCGAATATAACTTCAGATCCCACCTTGTAAGTCATTGAACAAACCAATTCCAACAGATCGCTCACTTTCGCCTCCAAGTTGAAATCAATAATAACAATAGAAAATCCCGGTGCGGCTTCTGCCTCTGGACCGTCCCTGTTCAGGAGAGCAGTCAGTCTACCTGCGCACGCCGCGCGGTTATTGGCCCCGGAGTTTGTCAGTGTGGAGGAAGAAACAAAAAAGGGAGAAAATGTTTCTCTAGTTCAATCTAGTGCGAGACCGCGAGGCGAGGAGATGTTGTGGTCGCGCGACCACGATCAACATCTCGTGGGAAAAAGCAGTTGGAAACAAAGTCCCTGTGGTGTAGAGAGGTCCAGGCATGCGGCGTGTGCTCCTCAGGAAAGTTAGGCGCTCCTGACTGTAGGGAGGCAGGGCGCTAGCAGGTGGATGCAGAGGCCTATTTGCCATAAACACACCCACAGGGCGGGCAGCGCGGAGCCGAGCCGCCCATCAGCCAGCCGGGGGAGACATGATTTACTGCCGTGTATATCTTACAGCTACACACTACTACACACTGAATCTGTGCACTGTCAGGGAGTCTGTAAAGAATGGACACATTTCACTGAAGTTTTCTTCTTCTCGTTCTTTTTCTGCCCATTATTCTTATTATCATAACAAAGTTTCAGATTTACTTTATAGGCTATATCAGTAATAATAGGATAATAATAGGAACAAAATAAGGTTGCCAAGCTATTGGCTGTTGTTTTATTGTTCTGTCTGTTTGCTAATAATGAAGCCATAAATGTACATGGGTTTCTCACTTCCTAATAAGCCAGGCCATGCTGTTATAAAAAAAAAAGAGTGTAAGTATGTTTGTATGTATATATATACACACACACACACATGTTAAAACATGATTTCTAGAGATCCATAGTCAAATAATCAACCAATCAAAGGGATTTTTCACAACCTGGCAACCCAGAGGTTGATCTGATTTATGTCTTATAACTGATCTATAAAGTATAAATTAATATGTTAATAACCATTATTGGAAAATGCTAATTAAATTTTTTTTAAATGCTAAATGTACAAAAATACGACCGGTAAGAGCACAATCCAGATCCGATACTGGTGCATATGTGGTTTATGTTGTACAACCAACATGTAACTAATTTTTGGGCCATTTATCTATGTTGGGAAATGATTTTCTATTTACAAATTGAGAAGACATGGAGCAACACTAGCATTAATCTGGAGTTGTGTACTGGCCATAATGTTATCCAGTGTTATCTAAAACCATATTATACCTGCGATTTGGGTTTGCGTAACGTATACTGTACAGAGCTGTAATTCCGTCCCTAAATATAGAAAAACGATCTGTTAGGATATGAAAATATTGATTATAGCAGCTCTAATGGTTAGTGTGGCTGTATGTTGTGGAGATCCGATGATGATAGAAATAAAAGCAGTTGCACCAACAGTTGCACCAAAATATAGTATGAGCTATTATTAGTAGTAGTAGTGGTATTATTAGTATTAGTATTATTATTAGTACCTTAACAACAGCTGATAAATAAGGGGAAAAACCTGCTGCTGCGTGAATGTATGGATGCATCAGCTGTGGGTCAGGTCTCCTCTTCCATCTGCAGCTGCTATAGCATTGGCCAAGTGTGTTTCACGAAGGAGGTGTTGGCTTGTTTTGGATCAGTCGACTGTATTTCCTTCTTCTATCACTGTGACAACCAGCGAGCCACCATCTGCCACCCACACATGAGGTGTGGAGGGGAATTGTTCAACAAGATTTGGCTTAAATGGTGCCTACATGTGTTCGTTTTCTCTCAATCAACAAGTGAGCTACATTTAAAACTGTGTATCACAAATGTAAAGTAACTTATATTAACTTTACAATTCACTAGGTAAAAGTTTTATCCATGCAAGTTTATTACAGCATTACATTGACTTCATTCTATTGAATATTTGACCTGCCAAGTCAATTTTAGTGACTTAGAGCACAGACAATGTAATGATTGTTGGCTCCAACTTATCAGAAATTAAAAGTCTTATCTTGGTTATGTACCCATTGATTTGAAAAAGGCTGAGAAATGTAATTCATTTGATGGTACACGAAAAATGATGATTAAAATGCTTAATTTGCTCCCCTATTCAAACACTGATTGGACGCTTCAAAGTCACTGAGTTACCGCCTGTGAAGATTTTCTAAAGCTCATTGAGAAAATTAAACATTTTCCCATTTTTAATCATATTCCATTCAGTGTCCTTTCACACCTGCATTATCTGCCCCTCATTCAATCTGGAGCTTTAAATTGCGTGCACTGGATTCACCATTAAGCCCGTCGGGGAGTTAGAGACAAAGTTTGTAAGGTGTTCAGCTGTCTGCTCAATGGGGTCAAAAGAAGCTGTCCCGCTCACCTCTTCTTCCATATGAAGCCATGACGTTGGCTCTGTAGCCTTCACTCTGCGCTCTGACCCAGCATAAAGGTTCTCTTTTAAAGTGACTTGGCAGAGGTCAAATAGAAAAGGATCAGTCTAATGAGTCTAAGTAGACTTCTTCCTCCTCCTCTGGACAACTTATCTATTCAGTGAAGACATGGCAGATTTTCTGAGAAGCGGTGACTTCAGCTTCTCCATAGCCACATCACCACACATTCCTCACCCGGGACAGTTTTCTGAAAAGAACAAGACGATCAGCTGTCAGCCCTGACTGCATATACTCCATGCGTGCATATGCTTTTCTGCTTGATGGGGATCCGAGGTGAGTGTGTACATTACCCAGAAGGACTTGTTGCTCCTAAGTGGGCCTGAACTGTAATATTTGTGATAAAAATCTTGGCAGTGCATGACACCAGGCTGCTGTTGACATCTATCTAAGTGGTGTATGAAGTTGTTGTAATGTTCTGCAGAAGAACCTGCATTCCAGCTGAGGTGTGAACAGTGCTTTCCGTGGGGCTCTGCCTGCAGGGCATGAACGGATGCCAGGTGTTAAATTAGCATTTGTGATTCTTGCACAGTGCAAGGGATCATCTGCAACACAATCCCAGTTTCAGTGTGTGTGTGGAGAGACGTGA